AGATATTTTAATGCAGAAATGTTACATATTAGAGCCTAAATGTTTGCTCGATGTGTAAAGAGACAACTGTTTGCTGCAACAGAACTTTAAAAGGTCATATGTTAATCTTGAGTTTACACTTCGTTCTGCTTGCCCCCATGTGGCCAAAAACTCTCAACTCAAACATTACAGAGGGCTTAATGTGCCCTGCTAAAATATATATATATATAGGTTATATATATGCCCGGCCTATGGGACTGCTGTTCCATTAATACAGTCTGTCAAGTAAGTGTCTCCAATGCTACCTTTCCTCTGCAATGAGCCAATCACACTGTACCCTCAGACATTCTGTGAGCTGGCAAAAGTTTTAGAGAAGTGCTTATGTTTTAAAATCATAGCCCCAGGGCAGCTGGATAATGCCAGAAGCCTGACAGGAAGCAAAGAAATACAAGGACAGCCTGTCAGGCACATAGATATGACTTTGCTCTGTCAGGGCACCAGTTATTCCAGATTGCCTTGCAGGCTACTTCACAATGCCAGGTGCCTGGCAAGAAGCAACGCATTAAGCTCAGAAAGAAGCAATTGGCAGCCTGGTAGGAGGCCGGAGTCTGACAGGTTGGGAACAAAGGTCCCCTGGGCTTTCACTCTGCTCTCTTTTACACTGTTGTTCTTCTTTAATTCTGTTCCAAACTGCTCTCTTCAAACCTGTTCAGTACTTTTTCTGTTCACTTCTAAGTCTTGCAAAATCAGACCTCAATTTTACAAAAATCTGGCTGAGTGAGGACGTTTCTCAACCACTCTGAGCCATTTGCCCATCCAGCACAACCAGGAATTTATTGGTGAGTTCTGCCTTCCACAGCAGCTTTGTCATATACTGTATTGTCTCAGTAATGTTACTATTTGAGGCTGAAACTATTTTATAAGAATAATTAGTATTATTAACAATCCAGTGGGGAGAATTTAGTGGAGCTGTGTAGCTGCAGATCACAACTCACTCGCTTCACCCTCCTTTTCCAAGCGTGAGGGAGAAACTACGCCGGCCGTGAAGAAAATGCGAACATCCCTATCTACAGCCACTTTTTGGTTTCTAGCAACATGGAGGTTAAACATGGAGGACTCCATGAAAGGGAACTTAAAATCTTCTTAAAGTGCCAGTGTGTAACATTTCTATTGTCAGAAATGGAAAATAATATTCATAGGTATGTTTTCATAAGTGCATAATCACCTGAAAATAAGAATCGTTATGTTTTCCTTACCTTAGAATAAGTGTTTTTTATCCAGCTGCTGCGGTTCGCCTTCTATGGTCGTCGCCATGTTGAACCGCCATGTTTCTCCAGTACCCCAGAACAGATGAAACATACACTGCTCTAGATGGGGACGTTTCTGTTTTTTGCATGTTTCTCAGGCACTGTAGTTTCTCCCTCAAGCTTGAAAAGGGAAAGTGAAGTGAGTGAGTTGTAATTTACATTGACACTGCTAGATGCCGCTAAATGCTACACACAGATCTCATGTAACCTTTCTCACATAACAAAAACAGAGATGTTATATATCCATTGAGTTTCTGTAGTGTTTTTCACTGTTTGACTGGCACCCTTTTAATTACGTTATCTCGTTGCACCCCCTTCTTCTGGTTTTCCAACTTGAAACCACCTACTGCCAGATTTGGGGAGTAATGGATTACATGTAACTGAGTTACCTAATCAGGATACAAAAAAAAGGTAACGATAATCTGTGTCCTGTTACAGAAAAAAGATATAATCCGATTACAGTACATTACGCAAATATTGGGATTATTTAGCAGGATTACAGTTTTAAAATGCAAGTCTTTTAATTTTCCATTGTTTCTATTTCCATTTCCTTTTCTAAGGTTACATCTGTTGTCTTATATAATACAATTACATCAGTACTTCTTATTGATAATTCTTTTCTCTTGTTTTTATTTACATTTTTGTTGTTGAGGTAATCCAAAAGTAATAGAAAGTAATTGAGTTACATTATTTCAATATTGTGATACTTGGATTAGGTTACTGACAACATTTTTTAACAGGTAGTTAGCAATTGTATTGGATTACATTTTAAAAAGTAACCCTGCCTACTGCTTGTCTCGATCAACCAACGTATGATATTCGCACCTTTACAAAGAAAAGGAAAAATGCTTTGTTTTGCATAGTTTATACCCTACCTCTGAAATAAAAATGATTCTTTAATTAGTTTTTTTTAAAATAGAGAAAATATATTTGATATAGTTGAATTATTGTCTGAGAAATAAATTGCAATGTTTTTCAGTCTTATTTTGTAAAAAAAAGTCATTATATTCTTCCTTTTACATCTGTAGGACTTTAACTCTCAACAGTTTAATAGAGTATTTTTGAAAATGATGGGAGCCAGCAGTAGAACAGACTGAAGCAAATGGAGCTGTGCTGTGTTCACTGCTCTCTCCACTTTCCCACTGAGCATCTTCCAAATGTGTCTGAATTAGGCTGATTTATAGCTATTTCTGTTTGTGTGAGTGTGTACGTGCACGTTAGTGGTTGCACTGGACAACTTGCAACACGCAGGGCCCAGCTGAGACAGAAGAAGGTCAATTTGTCCCTTCTGCTTTTCTGTTATATAAGTGTCCCATTTCTCCTCTTCCACTCCTTTTTTTTTCTCGATCCGTTTCATTTTCTGTGATGGAAACACACTAAGACACAACAACGCATTTTTATTTTATACATGCACAGTGTCACCACATCTTTTTGTTGTACTCCAACAAAAAGGCATCTTTTGCCCTGGAAAATGGTCCTTTCAGCTTGTATTAGAGTAGTCATCATGTTTCTCATGTAACACCAGTGAGAATTCTGTACCTGTCAGCCCAAAGTAGTTTCTGGTTTGTTCAGGTGAAAAGGACCAGAGGAATCATTTCACATTAGCACAATGCTAACAGGGGACATTATAAGAATTGGAAAAATTTTAAAAACAGCAGAATGACTTATTATTATTAATAAATAATTAGAAGAAGGAAAAAAAAATTCACTTTGTGGAAAAACTGCCTATGTCTGTGACATTAATGCGGAGGGATACGTTAACACTGTAAACCACAGAGAAGGTTGAAATTTTCAGTCTTGTTGCACCTTCATCCTATAACGATCAGTGCAGCAGCAGCCTCCTGCCCTGAGGGATTCCGTGCTGATTTACTCTTTAATATGTTCTCTACTTAAGGGTACTTTCTTTACTATGAACATCCACAGCAGCACTTTAAGCTCATTAAATCTTTTTGATTGTCCTTGAATGACCCTTCATTTTCTCTGTGTGCTTTATTTTATGCTCCATTAAACTGTCACGCTTTGAAAATACGCTGCGAGTACAGGCCAATAAAGCATCTTTATAAAGCATCTTTCTCTCCTGCAAACACAAACAGTGGGGACAGTGGAAAGCCCGGGGCAGTGGATAACGCATAGTGCGGGGGGAGGTAGAGGGGAGTTAAAGGTTGAAAAGAGCGATGGAGGAAGAGATGGAGGGAGGAAAGAGAGGGAGAGAAGTGAGGGGTGATGGCGTCAGAAGAGGGGTGAGAGAGTCTACATGAACATCTGATGTTGACAGAGGCATCAAGGAGTCAGCCAAAGGCCCCCAGTGAACTCAAACACTTGGTGTGTGTATATGTGTGTGTGTTATTGTTGAATTGGTTTACTGTATTGGTTCTTTGTCAAAAGGATGTGCAATCATTTGTGAGTTTTGCACTTGTCATATGTGTGGAGTTAATAGAGGATCTAATGCAGTAGTCACGAGCATATGTACTCTTTAGCTAGACTCTTACATATAAGAACCGTCATAACTCCCGTTTTGGCTTGCTTTTTATGTTAATTAGTATGAAGGATTACATGTATCATCTTGTGCACTTCTGAGGAAATTTGACTCCTGGGACCCTTTCAAGACCCCATGTGTTGGATTGAAAAAAAGCAGAGCAACCAAGATAACACAAGGCTGAATATCTTACAAGTTCTTCGCCTGTTGCTACAGAGCGGAGCCTGGATGTTTTCTGTTGTGTGTGATCGTGCGCGCGTGTGTGTGTGTGA